CCCCCAATCCAACCACCTAGGGCTTGCTGCAGGCTGGCCCCTGAAATGGACTCACTTCCCCACCCAGGGCTCCTGGGCTGCCAAAGGCTGGTCACTGAGGCGTCTGCCGGGACCGGCTCAGAGGCAGCAAGTAGAGGGGCTCAGGGAGAGGGGACGCGCGCAGCCCAGGTGCTTACCTCTTCCTCTCCACTCACATCCTCCTCTTCACCCTCCTCCTCCTCCTCTTCATCCTCCTCGTCTTCCACTACCTGAGCATCTTCATCATACTCTTCCTCTGTGCAGTGGAAATGGGGACAAGAATGGAGCCGGTGGCGAGCTGGCTCGGCCCACGCGGCACAGGCCCCGGGCTGGCGGGCCTGGCGGGGAGGGGTGCGGTCCTCAGCGGGGGGCCGACGACCCTGACCCCCACCCAGGCCCCAAACCTGGGTGCCTTCAGGTGACTGAACCAGCCCCTAAGGTGAGCTAAAAGATAAGGTGAGCACCCTAAAGTGGTCTGAGCGATAAGCCCTCCTCCCCTCCCCCAGCTTTACAAAAATGAAAGACCCTTTTGTGGAGGCTGAAACCACAGAGAAATGGAAGGATCTGAGGAAAAGAGTACAGGGCCCGAGAAGGCTGAGAAGCCAATTTATTTAGCAAGAGCATCAAAGCCAAACCACTCACTTTAAAGGGGAGGTATCTGAGGCCGAGGGGAGAGGTGACTTGTTCAAGATCACACATCAGATTAGCCTGGGCCTAGAAACCTGGTCTCAGGACTCCAGTCCTGGGCATTTATGTTGCATCACAAGATGGGATAAACTAAGGCAAACAAGGTGCATGAATATCCTGCAAAATACTCCCATCTAACCAGGAAAAACAAAATCTCGGGTCCGAATTAATCATGCAAACGTCTCCATTTTCAACTTTACTCTGGCCATGAGGACCTGCAGAAAGGCCACCGTGCTGGTGACGTGGGAAGATAAGAGGCACCCTTTCCTCTTCCTTCCTGCAACCCTGGCTGCTCACCACGCTGCCAGGGAGCCCAACATGCTACCTGCAGCCTCCACTTTTCCTGCCCCTGGGGCTCCCGAGTCCACACCCGCAAGTCCTGGACTGTGGTTCTGTGGGCTGCAGCCACCAGAGGGCCCCACAACCCCTCCAGCTCCCTGACTGGACACCTAGATGCGGAAAGAGGACCCTCAGACCATACCCCACCTTCCTCCATCCGCTCGCCCCCTCCCTGGGACAGTGTCTGAGTCTGGGGTCATATCAGACACTGTAGAATCTCATTCCCAGTGGGAGACTTTGGAAACGGAGGAAAAAAAAAAAAAATCAACGTGAGGATTCAGCTAGATGGTTTTTAAAAAGGGAAGTCAGTCTTAGGATGTATGTTTCTCTGGGGCTCATGAGAGTTCTTTCAGGAGAGTCAACCAACGACCTAGATTAGGGACACCAGTAAACACGGCGACAGCCTCACTCCCCTCCACAGCTTTGGATAGAGGTCAGCAGCCATACCCCTCAGCAGCCTGGAGCCTCCCAACGCCCGGGCCGCCCCTTGCCTGGGGGGAGGACCCCTGCCCCGGCCTTCGCCTGCCACCCACCATCCTCGTCTTCCTCGTCGTCGTCCAGGCCCTCCACATAGCCCTCGGCGTCGGAGTCGGGGGCCTCCTTGTCGTCCCGGTCGTAGCCATCAAGATACGTAAGTTGTGGGAGAAGCTTGAACACGTTTTCTCGGTAGTCGTTCAGGTTGGTTACCTCACAATTGAAAAGGTCTAAGCTCTTGAGGTTTTCTAACTTTTTCTGCAAGTGGAACAATAAAGTCAATAGTGAGCGACCTGAGGGAGGCAGGAGAGACGGGGACGGGAGGGGAGGGGAAACCACTGGGGGAGCCGTGGGGACCAAGTGAGACACTGTGAAGAGCCAAGGCTCGGCGGGTAAAGAAACTCTGATTTGGTTCTGCTCGGCCACATGTCCGCCCAGACTTATCGCCCCTGGATGATGGGCCTCAGTTTCTTCACCTGGAAAATGAGGGGTTGGACTTTATTGTTAAAATCTCATCCAACAACACTTTTATTCTGCTTTTGCCTTTACAGCAACCAGCTTGAAGTTAAGGTGGGGCTCTCGGTGCATGAAACAAGCGCTGTGCTGCTGCCGCTGTGACTAAGGGGCCAGGGGCGACCCAAAAAGGCAGCACGAGCCACCGCGCCAACTCCTGCTGCTGCAGCAGCGACAGGAGTCAACACAGCACTTTGTGTATTGGCTCAGCTTGTCCCCAGAACCCCGAGAAGGTAAAATCATGATTCGCTCCTTTTCCGGATGAGGAAGGAGAGAGCTGGGGTTTGATCTGCAGCCCCGCGTCTCACCTGAGCTCTCTGCCACACTGCCTGCCAGAAAGGACAAGAGAGAAACTGACGGAGGGTCCAGATTTTGTCCACGGTACTCAACACATCTGCTTTGTCAAAGCTTTACCTTAGGGGTTCGAGCCTTCGTTATTCCTGTTTGGTGCCTGAGGAAACTGAGGCCTAGGAGGTCAAAGGGTCAGATGGCTAGCAAGAAACAGAGCTGCACCTGGACTCCCCGCCTCCCCGTTCCAATGGGGCCAGGCCGAACTGGCGACTAAAGCCACCGTCCCTCAGGGTCAATGTCAGGAGCCAGGTTGCTCTCTCAAGAGCTCAGGATAGAGACCTGGTCATTCTCAGCAGAGGGTCAAGTGCAGGGAGGGAATCTGGGCTGTGGTCTGGGTGGGTAAACCCAGCACCCCCAACCAAAGCTGTTTCCCACCCTCCAGAGGTGAGTGTAACACATCAGTCACACTGATAACTAGGGAAGCTACAAAAACATGCGTGGTCTGGGCAGGAGGAGAATGGGGGGGGGGTGCCTGCCTATATCTGATCTCTAATGATGACTGATTCTCATTGTTTTATATACGCAGTCCCTCGCCTCCCAAACACACGTACAGACCTTCAAAGATTTCTCCTTTTGTAATGAAATTATGAAATGAAGACTTTCGGGTATATCAAACTAGTTTTGCTTTCCCCAGATCAGTGGAAGACTTTATAAGAAGTCTGATGGGAAGCACATTTTAGTGGTTGACCCTATGCCACAGATAGGCAGAAAAAGTTTGAGCTTGAAAAAGAACACTAGCTTCCTATTCTGTCACCTGGCTTATCCACCCGCCCTCCTTGAGCGTCCAAGGAGGGCAGAGTGCTTTTTGGACAAGAACCCTACAAACCCAACTGAGGAATGTCCCAACCTCCACCCTATAAACATGGAAAAGGGAAAGTTGGCAAAAGATCCTCAGGGTCTTTCCCTGATTCCAAGACACATGGCTTATGAAGTGACTCTTAGGTGTATATTTACAATAAGTGTTTATTTTGTGTGGTAGTATTTCTATCTCTCAAAAAAATCTATTACTGAATCAGGGACAGACACAGTTTACAGCTGACCTCCTTAAAAAATCAAGAGAATACGGTCATTCAGATCCTGCTAATGTAAAAATTGTTCTTCTGACCGTGACTTGCCCCTTTCTGGCTAGTAAATCGTGAAGTTTGGGGTGTGTTCAGCTCTAAGAGGACAGCAGAGGAGGCCTACACGAGGCTCCCAGGCCACACAGTTCTCTGCGATCCCAGGGGGCCTGTGCTGGGGCCAATCCATCTCCCACCCTTCAGAGGCACCAGCCTCAGGTGAATGGCCCAAGGAGAAAACAGGTTGGCCACCTCCAGGGTCAGCTTAATTCCTGGATGGATCCTCCCTTCCCAAAGAGGGACAAGGAGCCTGAAGAAATGACAGCTCCAGGTTCCAAAGCAAAGTACATACTCTTCAAGGAAAATCACTCAGCCAGAAATAGAGGCCAGGGTCCTACCCCTCTTCACCCTGACTGCCAGCCTGGCTGTGTGACCTTGGGCAAGTTACTTAACTTCTCTAGGTTTTAGTTTCCCTATGGATGAAGCAGAAATAGTTGCTCAAACTCTATCTCATAGTACACAGTGAGGGTTAAATGAAGTCAAAAACGTAAAGTAAGTGGAGAGAAGAAAAAAAAAGACATTACACAAACTCAAAAGTAGCATTCCCTGATATCAGTCCCTCCTGCCTCCCGCCCCGTGGAGAGAGGGAAGGACCCAGTGACTCACCAGTGGCTCTATTGTGCTGAGGTCTTTAATTTTGTTGCCACTTAAATTTAGATGTGTGAGGTTCGGACACTTTTCTGCCAATACTTCCAGGCCCCCTGAGATTCTGTTATCGCTTAGTTCAAGCTAAACAAGGCAGAAAAATAAAAAGCAGAAACAGCTCTTAAAATTAAGGCTCGAAGCTCCTGGCTCTCCGCAGACAGCAGGGAAGGGAAAACTGTCTCGGGGAATCTTCGGCGTGTTGGGGCAGGCAGCTGGTTGCACCTGCAAATTATGCTCCCTAAATGCGAAGTGAGGACCCTTCCTCCTCCCCACCCCACCTCCCCGCTTGAGGGCACACACATACACACTCCACTCTATTTACCTTCTTAAGTTTGTTTAACTTTGGTAAGTTTGCGATTGAGGTGAGGCCTACGTTGATTGTACTTAAGAACTCCAGTTCTTCAAATTCATCTGTGAGGCCTTCGATTTTGCCTTCAATTGACCGACAGTTGTCCAGGACAAGCTCTTTCACCTGGAAAGGGAAGAACTGTGTGAATGGAGGCAAGGAACGGGGCTGAGGCAGGAGAAGAGAGTCAGGACTCCTAGGAGGACAGGGCGACAAACCCAGGAAGCAGTCCACCATACACTACGCACAGCACTTGCGGGGCATTGCACTGCACATGCCCACCCTGGCCTTCCCACCTGGGGGGTCGGGTTGAGGTGAGCAGAGCTGCAGAACAGGGGCCACTCCAGATAGGAAGCGTGGCTGAACCGCAGAAGATAAACTCAAGCTCTGCTGCCATTAGCAAGGTTGGTGATCTCATTCCAACCCTACCCTGCAATACCACAGCCTCCAGATCCCAGCTCTAATGTTAGAGGATCTCTGAGCCTCACCCCATACCCATCATGGCCCCAGCCTAATCCAACCCAAAGCCAGCCCCCCACTTCCCTGTGTGTGTCTGTGACCTTCTTACTGTTGGTGTATGTACCCCCTTCCTCTCTTGCCGCCAGTCAGAACCTGCCCACCTGGCCTGGAATTTGTGACCACAGTCACTGCTTGGCCTACCCCAGGGTAGGGAAAGTCAAAGAGGGGCTCCTCCAACTCTCTATTCACTACACCAGTGCTGTCCCTCAGAACTTCCTGTGAAGATGGAAAGCTCTGCACTGTCTAAGAGGGGAGCCTCTAGTCACTGAGTACCTGCAATGTGGCTGGTGAGACCTAGGAACTGAGTTTTAAATTTTATTTAGTTTTAATTAATGTGTGAAGAGACACATGTAAGCTACCAATCAGATACCACGGCCCTCGACTTTGCCCTTCATGGTTGGTCCTGAGTAGAGGATGGAAATCCACAAGCCATAGGATGGGTCCATTATGAAATGCTGAGGTTGACCAAGTCCAAAAGCTGGTCTTTGGAGGCACCCCTGTGGTCCTCTCCCCTACTCAACTCTTTGGAGGTAATTTGCTCTACTGAGTTCTTAAAATTCTCTTCTCTTCTCTTTTGTGCCCCAAATCCTTTATATCTAATAAGGCAGAAAGAACTGATAAAAAGCTACCCTCTCATTAGGTTGTTAGAAGGCAGACTTGGCTCCAGGGGAGATGCCAGGCTTTGGTACAGATGGTAGGGAGACGAGCTGAGGAGGAGTAATCATGTCTCGGGCCTGAACTGACCAGGGAGTGAACCAGGGAGGCCAGGATGCTGGCCCTCCAGGGAGATGCCCAGTTACCCACTCCTGTCTCTGAGCAATCTGGCAGTCCCTGTTCTCCCAGGGTTGGCAGGCACCTTAAAGAGGACCCCTCCTGGCCACACCTGGTGCCTGACAGCATCCCAGCCTGCTCCCTGCAGCCTCCAGGAAACACGTGCTGCTGCGGCCTGGATATGCTGATCCCTGGGACTTCTCACCCACAGCTCACATGGTGAAGGCTTGTCCTTCTCAGCAGCAGTCCCACATTGTCTGAAAGGTCATTCCTGCCCCTCAGAACCTCTTCTTCTTAGGGATAAGCAGACGGGCCTTCTAACCTGTCTGCCAGGGCTGCCCCCATGCTTCCCCACAGCAGGCTAATTTGCTTAGCTTTTCCCTGCAGGGCACAGGATGCCTGTGCTGCCACCGTCCTCCAGGTGCCCCTTCTACTGAGTCACTTCTGGGTCAAATGCCGACTTGGGGAACAGATCCACAGCAGGCCTATGGTGCCCCTCCTCAGTCCACCCTTGCCAGTGAGCAGACAGGGGAGCTCCGGGCACATGTGGGACCCAGCGACCCAAAGCTGCCCTGCGCTCTTCCACCCTAGCAGAGAGATGCACTCGGCTCAGCCCAGGACAGTGGCAATTTGCAAGGACGGGCAACGCCAGGCACAGCATTAATCTCTCACAGCTGGGAAGCTCTGGGCCTAAGCACTGGCGCCAAGGCCCACCTTTCCTTGGGCCTTTCCTGTCTTTTCCCACTCTCTCAGTCCCCAGGAGAGGCCAGATGTCGAGGTCAAGTCACCTTCTCAAGGTCAGTGGCAAGAATGCCTGGGAATAAATCCTACCCTAGGGCAGGAAATCAGTGTAGAGCCAGGAAGCCAGGCCTCAGGGGAGCAGAGCAGACCGAGGGAGATCAACTGTACTGGGGGAGGGAGGACCCCTCCTTCACGCTGTAGTAGACACTGGAGTCACACGGCCCACTGTCTTCTTTAGTTACTGTTTCCTTGGAAGGCCTTGGGAGTTCTGTAAGCTCCGCCAAAGACAGACAAATATGAGGAGGGATTCCAATCCACCCTCAACGATTTCAGACATGCAGTTTTTCTAACCGGGTCAAGGGCTCCTCCTCCTATGGCCATTAGTCAAGGAGAAGGCCCAGAGGTGGGGGGAGGTGGTGCTGGAGAGTCAAGGGAATTCCTCCCGGAAGTCGACCTCTTTCCCGGAGCAGCACAGTGTGGCTGGGAATTCTACAGACAGAGGTTCCAGTTCCAGCTCCATACCCAAACTGGTGGCCATCCTCTCGGGACCAATATGCAAGTAACTACTACTACTACTACTACTACTACTACTACTACTACTACTACTACTACTGTTTTATTAATAACAACCACAGGCTCTTTCCTGAGCCCTCCGCAGACACCCTCTAAGTGCTTCACCCACAGTGGCTCACTACTGAATCCTCATAACAGCTCTATGGTGCATTCTCCCATTTTATGGCCACATCAGAACCACCTACCTACTACCCTAAAGTGCAGGAGTGTGTCTACTGGACCGAGGTGGTCAGAGGTAGTCAGCGACAGCTCCTGATGATTTCTCTGACATTCCCAAATGTAGGGCACAGGCCCTCCCAGAGCACCAACTCAATCGGACAAGCTGCCCTGACAGCCACCTGCTCCCCCCTTTAGCCTCTCTTTTAACTGTTCCACCAGCTGGGTGGGGGCCATTCCCAGCAGTCCCCACCCTGGTTACATTTCCTCAGTAACCAAAGCACAAAACAACCCAGCCCTCCTAGCTCAGATGAGGCTGAAGTCAGGGAGCACAGATCTGGAGAGGAGCGGGGGGACCTCACTTTCCCAGGGAGCAAGAGGCTGCTCCCAATCACTGAGAAGGAGGGAAACCTGTGGTGTCTGGAGGGCCAGGTCTGTGGGGCTTGTGGGGTCCCCAGGGTTTCGGCACTTCCCTCCTGGCGAGGGTTTCAACACTGTTTGGGGAGAGATTAAAGAAGAGGGGCAAGTCCAGGCTTAGACCCCAGGTTGCTAATATCACCAAAAAGCACAAACCACCCTGGGGGAAATCTACTTCTTCTTTGTGGGGTGATGTGTCACATGGGGGATGGCAGGTAAGCTCCCTCTTAAGTGTCTGAAGTGGACCAAACAGGAAAAAACAAAAATGCCAGCCCAACAGCAGAAGTCAACCCGCCTACCCCCTACCTCCAAAGAGGGCCACACTTTAGGCTATTTCTTTTTTCTTTTTTTTAAATATATCTTTATTGATTTCAGAGAGGAAAGGAGAGGGAGAGAGAGAGAGAGGAACATCAATGATGAGAGAGTCATTGATCAGCTGCAGCCCGCAACCCGGGCATGTGCCCTGACCGGGAATCGAACCCTGATCGCCTGGATCCTAGGTTGACGCTTAACCGCTGAGCCACGCCCGGCCGGGCAAGGCTACCATGTTTCAAAACCTCTAACCCCACCTGAAACCTGTATGTTCCTATTAACCACTGTCACTCCAATAAATTTAATAAAGTGGAAAGACAACAACAACAACAAAACCCCTCTAACCCACCCCAGTGTTCTTCCAATCCCTCTGAACTGCTGCGATGGCAGCCCGCTTGCTCCCGCCTCCGGTGGTGGTCATGCTCTACACCCTCCCCTGTGAAGAGAGCATCCCTTTGACATTCAGGGAGTGTTCTGCTTAAAAAAAAAAAAAAAA